CTTTTTCTCCCTCCCTCGCTCACAGACACATAACGGGTATGGCAGTCCATTCTCCCTGCAGCACGGACTACACTGCCCATGAGGCTACATTCTTTAGGGCGATGCCTCTATCACTGCCTATTGCCTTCATATTAAATAATTTCTTGACCAATTTTTAAAAATATTTCTTCACGTCATTATGCGGGTCGCAAGTAGGGGTTACATAGTCCGCGAGATTGACACACAGGCATTAGAGCCTCTTAATGCGTGTTTTGTTTGGGTTTCCACTGGCGTGGAATTACCAAAAATACAGAGGGCATAGCCTAACATATGAAACAGGAAAAGACCACCGTGTAATCCATTTGTTTCAACAAAGTAACTGTATTCTGAATACCACCTTTTTAAAGGGTAACTGTAATGGAATACAATTACTCATATTTTGTATTTTACATAAATAACGCCGGTACATGTATTCCGTTACTCCCCAACACTGTTTATAATATACATATAGAGCAGGGGTCCCCAATCCCAGTCCACGAGGGCCAGTGTCCCTGCAGGTTTTAGATGTTTCCTTGATCCATCACAGCTGATTTAAATGGATAAATGACCTTCTCAACATGTCTTGAAGTTCTCCAGAGGCCTGGTAATGAACTAATCATGTGATTCAGGTGTGTTGACCCAGAGTGAGATCTAAAACCTGCAGGACACCGGCCCTCGTGGACTGGGATTGAGGACCCCTGATATAGAGGTTTAGTCATGTGAGCATCTAAGACACCAAAAGTGATGAAAACCAAAGAATTATTATTACAAATTACATTTGTAAAAATAATAAGACATTTTTAAAACAATTCAGTACCAGGTTTTCCATAATTTTCTCACATGATTCAGTAAAAATGAAATTTGACCTAAAAGCCATTCTAAGCTGTGGAATAGAAATGCTATTTGACCATATGGAGTCAAGGCTAAGTTTCAGCTAATTAAAAAGGTCTACAGCCAAAATGCTCCCAAAATAAATAAAGAAACAAAATTTACTAAACTTCAATCACTGAATTGAAAAAACTGACGCTTAAAATTGTTGCTTGGCTCTAGTGTTAATGAACCTCTACTGCATCAAAATGTCTTTACTGAAAATAACTAAAATACATTTTGACCCCTGGAATTATTTTCAGACGGCCACCGTTCTTAATCCATTCTGGTGAAACTGCGCTCGCATGAATGAGAAATGTAAAATATATGAAATTCAACTATGAAAGTTCAAATTTAATGACATTATCTCTATTTGATCTCGTGACTTTTAATCTGATTTCACATCTGATCTTCCTAGAGTAGCAAATACTTTGTAATGCTGTAAATTAAACGTACATATTTTTGAGGCATACGATAAAAAAATCCCACTTTATTTTTTCATTGTCTTTTACACTATCAATTATTTTACACATTATTTTAAACTGCTGTCAGTGAAATGAATACAACCTTTGCATTTCATTTATTGGTGCCCTACTCTGTTAAACAATTTAACAGGTTTGATTGTGGAGACATCCACAGATAGATATGTAGCCCAGTGAATTGATAGGTTTTCTAATATCCTCTCTTTATAGATTTTTTGTCCTTATTTTTAAAACATTATTATATAAAGCAACCATTGACGATTGAGAAAGCATAAGATTACTATTTATGATGAAAATTCAACTCAGCAATTTACATAGATGTCCAATAGATCAATCAATATCTTAGACACGGCACCCAATCAGCTATTTCAGTTTTCACATCAAAACCTGGAAGAAATAACAAAATTTCATCTCTGAAGCAGATTTCTTCTGAAATACTGTCAGGTGGTGTTATTGTAATGCACTGCGATAAGCAGCAGGTTTATCTGACACAAACCTGTATCAAACACATGAAGTTTGGAGTCAGAGACAGGTGCAGATCCTATTTCCCCACCAGAGAACACAAAAAGCCTGTCTCCAAGGCAGGCTGAGGTGGTGTGGTATGTCCTGGGACTCGCGGGTGTCCCATTTGTTTCTACAGTATTCCAGCGAGGGTTACTGTCTAGACACACACAGAATGGAAAAGATTTGTGGGTATTCAATATATCGTGTAATGTATTTATATGATCATGTATGGTTACAGACTACAAGTTTTCAAGGTTTTCACAGCCATGGTTTCACAGGTCAACAAGAAATCTGAGTGAAACCTTTCTCATCTGTGAAAATCCATCAGATTACTAGGTTAGGTTAAAATAGTATTTACCTGCCACCTGTACATTTTGGATACAGTTGCGATTTCCAGTCTGCTGCGCACCCCCAAACACCCACAGGCTCTGGGGGCAGCTCTCTGGTACAAAACTGCAGTGTTCATACCTTGCCTCCAAACCCTCCCACTCAGCAATGTCCCAGCCATGATTGTCTGGTCCATACAAAAACAAAAATGCAAAGAAAGTTATATAATATCAGTCTGATGGCTGATGATAACTTTAGCTTCTTGTCATAATTAAAAAAGACGTCCCATTAAAGCCTGTAAAACACAAGCCTGATAACTATATTATAAAATGCAGAGGTATACTGAGGTCATAATACTGTAAAAGCTGGCTCTGGATATATGTATATGTATATGTTCAGAGCCAGCTTTTACAGTGTGTGTGTGTGTGTGTGTGTGTGTGTGTGTGTGTGTGTATATATTTATATATGTATATGTGTGTGTGTGTGTGTGTCTGTTGACCTGTAAAGATTTTTAAAAAATAAACCAGAAAACACCCAGTAAAGTGTAAGCTTTGATGTAAACTTGTAAAAACAACCCTGTGATCATGTGGCTAAAGAAAAAGCTCTGATATGTGAATTAACCCCCAACCTTTCATTCATTCA